CCCCCCACCAAATCCCCCCCCCCCCCCCCCCCTAATTTTAATAGAATCCTCCTCCTCTTTTGCATTGCTTCATTTGAATCTGATGAAAAAAGATTCAGCCTCTTCCCAGGGGCAAACGCTCCCATACTTGTTTCCATCGGTTATGAAACTGCTATTGATGTCTAGCCTAGTTTTTCCCCCGCTTTGCTCAGTTTCAGACCATTGCTCCTCATTGTTCTCCATCTTGCCCTACAAAGAAAAGGTTTAGAAGAGGGAAAATAAACAGGCCTGCAGATGGGGGCTTGGGAAATGCATTCCACCAGCAACTGCACAGAGACAGAAAAAACCCAAACCCCGGCCCCATGTACGATCTGCTCGCATCTAGCGAATTTCAGAGGCTTATTGAACTTGCTGCCTGGTGCAAAACACATCGCTTGGAAGTGCTGCATACAGCCCTGCTCCAACCAGAAGGGTCAGGCACGGACAGAGGGGGCTCCAGCACCTCCTGCTCTGATAGCAATCGCACATGACAAGAATAGACCCAAAGTGTACCGGGAAAACTTACTTGCTTTTACCATAAGTAACCTGAGTAGTTTGTGACTCTTCCTGTAGCTGCAAAGTGGAATGAAATCCAGACCAGAGAAGTTTGCTTCAACTATGCACAAGTGACTTTATGGCAGAGAGAAGAATAAGCGATGCAGCATTTTGGATTCTTTTTGCAGCCCAAGAGCTGCTCTGGGCTGGCCAGGAGAAAACCAGATGATATACTCACATCCCCAGCAGCAAAGGAGTTGCCACAGCTGTACATTAGAACATGGGCTTACCCGGCTTCAGAGGAAGAGACATTCCCTGTTGTTACACAAGCTCAGGGCAGAAGAGCACAAGGCTTTGCAGCTGCTGCAGCTGGGCCCTTTCTTGGGCACGTGCATGCTCATGTTTCATAGGTGAAGCAACAAGGAAGCTGTCGAGCAGTTATCGTGCAACATGCTGACATTACCCAAACCCTGCACTACATGGTTAGCTGAACTTGTTTCCCCATGGGGAGGCAGAGCTTCATCTTCCCCAAGACTAAATATCTGGAATAGGACCCTGTTTCAGAAGGGACATGCATCCAATTTTCCCTGATGCTGTGTGGGTGCCCGCAAGAGGAACAGGGAAAATAGTAAGAGGCAAAGTGGGATGGGTCCTGTGTACATTTTACAGCCTTACATTAAAGAATGCCCTTTGGATTTATATTGCACATTTTTGTACCACAAAGCTATCAAGAGGTTTTATAAGGGTGTATAATGTGTCCTGTGGAGGAAAGGGCAAGGGGCCATACCAAGCCGTCAGCCAGAATTAGGACACAGTTTTGGGTAGACAGAACTGGACACAGGGGAAGAGAAGGCAGTACGTCCCATAGTTTTCATCCCTTGCCTGCCAATAAGGTCTAGGTGCCACAGAGCTGGGTGCTCTGCAGTAAAAATGAGATCTTTCTTCCCCTGGCCAAAGTGTAATGATAACTGAGGACAGAAAGTGAGTTTTGCAAACAGTACGAGAGGATCGGGGGCCACAAAAGACAAAGTCTTTGGTTACATACAGCAGGGTCCTCACCTGGTAAGGTTTCCTCACTTCACTCCTCTCTTGAATCCAACAAACCCCAAAAGCTGCTCATCTCCAGACTGACAGGATATTTAACCACTACCACATCCTTGGGACGTGCAAAGGAATTCAACAGCAGAGAGCCTGCTATTTTCCTTAACTAATTAAGATCACCTCATAACCAGAATCAGAGCTGATTCTTCAATTTAGCGTGTGAATCATTGAAGTGTAGAAGCAAAGCCAGTGTTGTAGAGACTTTTAGAGGAGAAGAAATCACATGCCTGGGATATGCAAGACATCTCTTGCATCTCTGCAGTGAGCAGAGAGGACAAACTCAGATCCCTTGCGTACATTAGGTCTGATTTGTACATTTAAGATGAGATACCACCTTCCTCACTGTGAGTAGCACCAAAGTCCCCTTGTTGCCATCCACCAAATTGAAACACTTCGAAATAAATCGGTTTGGTATTTGCAAGACAACTCCCTTATTTTCTGGGGGGAGGAAGGGAGGGAGCAGCTGTTTCCAGACGTATTTTGCCCAACTCTCAACAGGACACAATTCACACATCTAGAGGAAAGCACTGAGGTGGAGAAGAAAGTCCGTAAGAGAGTGACATGTTAGAATGAGATTCATTATTTCACTTGTGACCTAAACTGCAAAAACATTTGCCTTTGGGGGTGGGGTAATCAGCACGCAGTTGGGTACTAGTGCAGTTTTTATACTAATAGATTCTCAGTAGTGCCATATTTCAGCTCTTCCCAACATCCTACTACCCTGGAGCAAAAACCCTAGCTCATAATAAAGGGCTTTGAGAGTGCGAAAAACAAATAAAGTTAATTTTAATTTTTCAATGCCAGACAGGCTCCTCGGGGAACCTTAACTCAACATGCATGAGCAATACTCACAACAGGACAACACATTGCAAATAAAATGCAAAGCAGAACCAAATGGAAAAAGAGGAGGGAGAGAAGGAGCTGGAAAGAAGGACAACGCATGTGTGTGTAAACACATACACATGCACACAGAGGGGCACCACTCGATGAAGCTGCTCAGTTTTTGCTCTGTAGACTGCAAAGCTACCTGGATGGAGG